ATCCTGAGGCATTCCTGCCTCAGGCTCCAGCTGTGAGAATGTTCCTCACAGAGAAGATAGACCATAGCTGGTTATGAGCATCCCAGAGATCAAGGACCAGGCACACACTGCTGGGCTGAGCTGGGCTGTCTTAGGACCTGGATGTGGGGCTTTCTCAGGAAGCACTCACACATACACCTGGATCTCCAAGCAGTTGTGAGTCAGCATTTGGTGCCCCTGCTTTTGTCCATGTCTCAAACATTCATTCATCATAGGCAGCAGTGTCCAAGAAGGAAGGAGTTTGTAGCTCCATAGTAGAACTTCTAGAGGCCTTTCTGCCCAGATATTCCTTTAGCTGTGGCAAGAGGAAAGCTCTCTGTGTTTTCCAGTTTCTAGAGGTAGTCCACATTCTTTGGTTTGTGGACCCTTCCTGCATTTTCAGACTGCCTCATTCCCACACCTGCTTCCCTTGTCAAATCTTCTCTCTCTGACTCCGATGCTCTCGCTTGCTTCTTAGAGGGACCCTCATAATGACATTAGGCCCATCTATGTAATCTAAGAGGGTCTTCCCATCTCATGACCCTTAACTTAGTCAAATATGCCACATCCCTTTTGCTGTAAGGTAATACATTTGCAGGTTTGAGGAATGGGGGTGGATGGGCATCACTGACTATCAGATACTACACCAAGGCAATCATAAGTATTGAAAATAAGACAGACAAGATCACCTTTACAATGTCAGAACTTGGATCAGCATGTGGAGGATGAGAATAACATTGTGCCCAGCCCCTGCTCCTTAGAATCATTTCCTAGGGCAGGACTGACTAGCCCAGAGGAGCATAGAGAAAGGGAAGCCAGAGGACAGGCCTTCCAGGACCACCCTCCATATCTGTTCAAGAATGGAAGTGTTCATATGGTGGGATGGGACTGTCTAGTTTGGTTCACCTTTTGCTACCTTCTGTTCAGGTGTCCGGATTGTACTTCTATTTCTGCTTTTTCCAGTTTTCCTCCAGGAAGAAGATGTTCTTGTTAGATCCCCCTTTGAATCTCACTAATGGCACTAATCTCTTGTGAGTTAGATGTAGTGATAAGTCAGGTGTGGGCAAGGCTGGACTTCTGGGCTACAGAGGAGTCATCACAGTGGCCCTGCCCCGGGGAGGCACCTTGGGGCCTGCCGGATGGCACCTCCCTGGCAATGCCTGACAATCCTTTTCAGACAGAGACTTCATTCTTAGTTGTTGAAGGGAGTAGAGGTTACGATGACTTTTCAAGACATGCAATTCAGGCCATGAGTCACCATAGTTATTACTATTTTCACTCCAACTTTGACAGCCATGTTTAGTAAGCAAATTTCAGGCATCCCCAGGGGTTGATTGGAGGATTTCCTGTGGATTCCACTTTGCCCTCCCTCAGTACCATGTTCAAGTCTCTTATACACAAGGAACACTATTTGTATTGACCTATGTTTTCCCTCTAATATACTTAAAAACACATCTAGGTTGCCTAAAATATGAAGTACAGTGTAAAGGCTGTGTATATCACACTACACTGGTTCAGGAATAGTTATTCAAAGGAACTTTTCCAACGAGATATCCTCCCCCCTCCCCCAGATGCTTTCAAATGGCAGCTATAGAGACCACACATTTAGAGGGATGACTATTTATAATGTAACCCTTGTTAGAAAAAAAATCACAGGAAGGACTAACTTTTCATCTAGGAGGCGGAGTGCTGTGATGGTGACACAGTTGATAGTTGGGTACGAAGTTCAACTCCATCTCCAACCTTGTATGAATCAGTGGAAGCCTCTTCCCATCTCCCAGTCTCAGTTTTCTTTTGATCTAAAACAATGATTCTCGGACCTGATTATCACCACCCGGTGAGCTCTTGAAGCATGCCGTGGTCTCTAGAGTTGAGAATCATCATCTATGAATGGCAGTCAACATCTTACCCAGATAGTCTGTCATTCTAAGAATTGTGTGGAAGTTGTTAAAAGAAATCTTAGTCCTGGTTTGTTGGAGGCATCTGTCCTCTCTTCTGAATGGCAAATCATCAACCTGATGAATAAATAAAAGTTGAGCATCTACTGCCTACAAAATACCAACTTAGGTCACTCAGAGATTTCTGAACACAAAGACCTTACCTGTGTTGTCAACTGGATGGATGTACATCCAAATAATTGTAAGCAATTGGCATTGTCCTTTTAAACTTCTCCATACTCATATATTAAACATATGGTTCCTTTTGCTTCTATTGAGTTTCTTTTTTTTTTTTTCTAGAAATTTGAGCTGTCTTCTGCATTCTTCTTATATTTCTCAGCAAGGGGTAGTGGTGGTTCTCGCCGAGACCTAGCAACTGAAGTGGCCTCTCTGGTTCCCTACCTTGCGGTCTTTATGCCCAACCTGTCCTGTCTGTTATGAACTTCAGAAGCAGAATGATGTCAGTTTTCATTTCTTAATATTTATCAAGTACTCCTTATATATGCCAGTTACTATTCTAAGAGGTTTATGAACGTTAGTCACTTACTCTGCAAATAACCCTGGGAGATAAATGCTATTTATTTCCCATTTCACAAATGAGGACAGTGAGGGAGAGAGCTAAAATAGCTTGTTCAAGGTCACTCTGCTGGTAAGTGAGGAGCTGAGACTAAAACATGGAGCCTGTCTCAGAATTTAATGCCTCCTACCGCATGGACAGACTCTGTGCAGTCTGTGAACTGATTTCCTGGCCTTCACACTTCAAATGGAGTGCATGAGGGAATGTTCCCAGTAAAATGTCAATTGAAAATTTAATAAGAAAGTCCCTTACATAAATAGTATGATGACAGCTACGAAAAATCAGTGCAAAACACAACTCACTAAAAATGGCAAGTAGTACACCAAAGGAAGGAAAAGAAGTGAAATATTTGGGGGTGGAATTGCAAGTGGCTTTATTTTCATCAGTGGGGTCTCTATATAATCTCATCCGCCACTGAAGTAAATACTCTTAATCTTTTGTTCTCAGAAAACACATGTGACATCAGAGCTGTTGTGTTATGTGCTAGGCATCACCCCAAGAGCTTAATGGCTCAGTCTGCAAATGGCCCTTTGAGATAAACATTCTTTCTTCATCTCATATAGTTTTGGTTTAAAAAAAAAAGGCAGATCACTAATTTGATATTGAGAATATACCAACTTACAGAAGTAATGGGATCTATAATGATCTGATTATTTTTTCTTCTGAGATTCCATAGTTTTTCATCAATTTTTATATTTTAAACTGATACATAAAAACATAGGTATCGATGGGTGTCATTTGGCACATCAGCTCATCGATGCAGTTTATTTCTAAAGTTATACTTTATACTCGCAGGTCTATCTCTGCTCTGAGACCTTTACTCAGATGGCCTTAGTCAGTGGGCTAGGAACTGTTATTAGCCTGATTTTACAGAGACGATTAAGCAAGTTGCTTGAGAATGCATGGGTGGAGAGAGCAAAGCTGGAAACTGGTCCTGGAATATGGGTTATGACTGAGCCACGGTGCTTCTCACAAAGCCCACCCATCCAGGTATGGACCCCAGACACAGCTGCTCTATCAGTCTTCAGTTCTTCCCAGGTACTTTTCATTATGAACTTGATACTTACTGACCACTCTCCCAACTCAATAAATGTTGACTTTCTTGGGGATTTAACCTAACCACAGAATATTCTTTGTAGGAAAATAAGTTTTGTATTCTATCATAGGTGTTCAAAAGCTTGCACAATCCTCCAGCCCCCTTCTCTACCTAAGGTTATTTATGAAAAAGGATTTCTCAGCTTTTCCCTTTGGGATGACCACAGCTGAAGGTCCACTCCTGGCAACTTCAGCTGAATTTTCTTCTATTGCTTCACCCTCTGTATATACCTGGTCCTTCTACCTCTGGCCAGCCTGAGGTGTATTCTTTAGGACAATTTGTGGAAAGACAGAGCCTTCAACAACTTCTGCCCACTTGAAGGAATCTGTCAGTGCAAATGTTCATGGACTTTTTTGGTATGTCAAATTCAGACAAGGAGAGAATCCCAACCACCCACATCATCTGCACTAGACCTGCCTGAAATAGCATCATCAGAATATCCAGCATTCTTGATCAAGGACATGGCACCATCTAAGAATGAAAAGAGCCATATTAGTTCATTGGTTCCAGCCAAGGTTTTTATTTTGGATTCCTGTTCTTATTCTAAAATCACCATTTAATCCCCATTTGGGTAATATCCTCTTCCATTTCCTATTCTAAAGAACAAACAGATCTTATCTTTACCCTTTGAGGCCTAGAACTGGACTGGCTCAGCTCAGGAAATAGGGAGCATAGCAGAGCTGCTTGTGAGATTGACGGATGGGTGCTTTATGTAGTTTGCAATGTCCCATCGCCATCCTACAAGTTTGCAATTCTCACAGGCTCTTTCTGTGCATTAATGCCTCAGATGCTTATAGAGGGAGGAATTGGGTCCTTGGGATGCAAGGGAAGGAAGTCATCCATACCCCTCATGAAAGATGCTATCAGTATCCCACACATGGGGAATCTCAGGTCAGAGCAGAACTATATAAAAGGCCACAGCTTCTCAGAGCACCTCAGACCATTTCTTCCTGAGCAATCTGTTCCAGTGCCTGAGCCAGGTAGAACATCTCCCAGGCCAGAGAAACTCTGGTGCTGGTTTTCTGGTCAGAACAGGGCTCTGGGTGGAGCTGGGGGCAATCTTGAAGATGAACAGGGGATGAAGAGGGTTTGGGGGGAAGGGTCCATCTGGAAAGAGAAGGTACCTAACGGAAGGCTGTGATTAGTACCTTTTTGAGCTTAGAATGAATTCATTTGAAAAGATGGAATGCCTATATTGGGATCATTTGTATTTTTTATTTTGGAAGTGAATTTAGGTGATTGGGTTTTAAAAGCTCTAATCATCATAGAGGTAAAATATTGTGAATTCATAGTTCAGTCTTCAAAGCAACGTTGGGCTTGTTGAACTTGAATCTTCTGCATTATTTTTCAGTTTTATTCAGCCTCTTTGGAGATGTCCTGCCAGCAAAGCCAGCAACAGTGCCCACCTCCTCCTCCCAAGTGCAAAACCCCTAAGTGTCCCCCTGTTTCTTCCTGTTGTGGCTCCAGTTCTGGGGGCTGCTGCAGCTCTGGGGGTGGCAGCTGCTGCCTGAGTCACCACAAGCCCCGATTCTCTCTCCGTCGCCGACGTCACAGCTCTGGATGCTGTAGCAGTGGTGGCGGCGGTGGCAGCGGTGGCAGCAGCTGCTGTGGCAGCAGCTGTGGCAGCAGCTGCTGTGGAAGCAGTTGCTGTGGAAGCAGCGGCGGCGGCAGCTGCTGTGGAAGCAGCAGCAGCAGCAGCGGCGGTGGCGGCGGCAGCTGCTGTGGAAGCAGCGGTGGCAGCAGCAGCGGTGGCAGCAGTTGCTGTGGAAGCAGCGGTGGCAGCAGCAGCAGCAGCAGCGGCGGTGGTGGTGGCAGCAGTTGCTGTGGAAGCAGCAGTGGCGGCGGCGGCGGCGGCGGCAGCAGTAGCAGCAGCCAGCAGCAGTCTAGGGGCTCTAGCTGTTGCTCTGGAGGTTGTTGCTGACCTGGGAAAGAGGATCCCAAAGAGCAGCGCTGACCCAAGACCTGCCAGCCAGAGTGTCTCCTCTTCTCTGGCTTTTCTGCAGACATACTTCTATAACTCTCTCTATGCCCCTTTTTCATTCCCCACAAAGCTCGTCTACTATGAGGTCTTGAGGTCTCACCTCTGAGATTCATTGGCTTTGCTTTTTTCCTCTCAGACACAACAGTTTGGGGATGAGATGTTGAAAATCAGCTCTGAAGCTCTTTTCTGGGTGACAATAAAGCTTTGATTCCCAATGTCATGGCCTCCCAATGCTGTTTTGTTTAGCCGTTCCATCCCCACCCTCCACATCAAGCCATATTCCCTTTCTTTATCTAAAGTGCATATTTTGGCACTGAATCCGCTTAAAAACTCTGGAAAACAACATTCACTTGGTGTTCTGAATTTGGGAACATCAAGCTTGAAAATAAGAATCATGTCTAAGACTGGTGCCCCTTAACGATTTGCACAATGAGGACTAGGAATGGGATGGGATGAGATGAGATGGCCAGTACCCAGAAAAGCCCCATTCTGAGAGGGTGTCCTTCAAAAGTGAGCTGCCATTTGGAAAATCTTACCTCTTAGTCATGGAGAATAAGATTGCCTGAAGTGCTCAATGTGGGCTCTAGTGTAGACACACTGCTTCCTGATGATTATTAGTGGACATACAGGATACTTGAGTGGGGAGCATTTCTAGAGGAGTAAGCTGATGAGATAGGTGTGAAATGCTGGAGCTCATTTTTCTTGGACTCTAGAATTTTAGGTTTGGGTCTGAATAGAGAACAAAGACATCATCTCAGCCAAACAGCCAGAGATAATCCCCACATGGTAGTGGTGGTGGTAGTGCTGGTGGTGTGGGAAGCGGGGGTGGTGATGGTGGTAGTGGAGGTGGTGGTAGTGGTGGTGGAGGTGGTGATGGTGGTGGTGATGATGGTGGCAGTGGTAGTGATGATGGTGTGGGAAGTGGGGTTGGTGGTGGAGGTGGTGGTGGTGGTGATGGTGGCGGTGGTAGTGATGGTGGTGGTGGTGATAATGATGGTGGTGGTAGTGATGGTGGTGGTGGTGGTGCTGGTGGTGGTGGTAGATGTGGTGGTGGTGGTGGTGGTGGTGGTGGTGGTGGTGGTGGTGGTGATGGTGGTGATTGTGGTAGTTGTGGTGGAGGTGGTGGTGTTTGTATACATGTGTGTGCAACAGAGTCAAGGATACTTCAGCCACTGAGCTTGGGTATTGATGTAATATCCCTTTGGGCTTGAGATTGTGATTGTTTTTCTCAGGAGATACTAAAAGTGTTTAGGATAGAAGAGATAACTGCAAGTCAACTTTCCTATACAAGATAAGCATCTACTCCCTCCTTTGATAAAAGTTAACAGTGATGCATAAAGTTGGTTTAAGAGGTCCATTCATTCAGTAGCTACCTGATCTCTCTTCATACTGATTCCTATCACCCTGCTTTTTCCTCACCTTTTGCATAGTTTTCCACAGGAGAACCGCATCTACCTTATTACTTCATCACTTCCTTCTCTTTTCTAACATTGATCTCATTTCTTGGAATGTCTCACCTCTCCTAGCAGAGAGGTGCTCTAGGTACAGTAGGCAACCTGTTAATCAGGCTCTAAAGCCACGGCAAATGAAACGGGTATCGTCTATGACTTGTCTTTCCTTGTCTGTTTCCTCATGACACACCCGGCAATGCACCCCAAAGCCTGTCTCTCACTCTTAACCCCTGAATTCTTAGCCTTAGATTCTCATATGTCTCATACTCACAGTTGTGACCAGGTAGTTGCAGTGATTGAAAGGCAGTTCAGAGGCAGTTGACCTCCATCGTTTTAAAAACCAGCTAATCAAAAGCAACAATGACTGTGGAAACTTTCTAGCCATTCCCTCTTTTATTCTCCCCCTCTTTCTTCTTTGCTCTTTTATTTTATCCCCTTTTTTCTTTTGTTTCGTCTTTTTCCTTTTGACAGTAGTCCCAGGGAAATTCTATCCTTAAGGGAGAGGAGATAGAGAAATTCTATCCTTAAAGACAGGAGGTCCTTGGGCTGGCCTGCTATTTTACAATAGGCCCACACCCCTCACCCATTTTTGTCTGCAGTCCACCAGGTTTGCACTATGGGAATATGGTACAGTGACTTTTTTTGGTCTTAACGATCCCTTAACCTTGCCTGGGTTTCTCTTTTTGTCAACAGTGACAGGAAGAAACCACCACCGGGATTCCATCCCCACCATCAACTTCATTCAACTATCTCTAGAAGCATCTAGACAAACCCACAGGGTTTATCATATAGCCTGCAGCCTGTCATGTAAGACAAGACAAGAACCAAGGGCCATAGAGATGCAAATAAGACAATAAATGATAAGGTGCAAATAAGACAATAAATGAATGGTGTGTGAGAAAATGGAGGGGTGCATGTGTTCTCTTTCCCTCATGGCATGGTGTGTGTGTGTGTGTGTGTGTGGTGTTTAAGTGAGCAGACAGGACCCCAGACCTCTCTTCATTTGAGCCTCAGGCCTTCTCTGAGCACGTACACAGCCCTCCCAGCTATGAACAGTGTCCTGTTTGGAAAGTAAACACACACAGCAATCCTGGCACCTCTGTGAAGTGACTTGGATATCCACGTGCACCACCTACAGTGCTATCTGAGTGATGAATGCCTCTGGGATGTAAGTGTCAGCTGAGCACATCTGTTGAGAAATGGGCCCCTCCCAAGTGTCTGGATATCTTATAAAAGCTTCTCTGGCCATACACTGTTCAGTCTTCTGCCTAGCAGGTGGCAAGTCCCAGTTGGAGAACCGAGTGAGTCTTCCTGTGGAGCCAAGGTCTAGTAAGTATCTAAGCAAAGTCTGGGGAAGGACGCTGGGAAGAGTGGAAGACAGAAGGGAGGAGGTAGGGCACGGCCAGAGTGTAGCTGTGGGAAGATAGCCCTGGAATTGAGCTTCTAGTGGGCCAGCTTTTCATGTCGCCCAGGGAGATGTAAAGGCCTGGCATGGAGCTGACTTTTGAAAGGTTTTCCAGCCTGTAAACGAGCTGTGACTAGAACCCCGGTTTTTAGGTTCCCTGGTTATATATTATTGTTCTCTGCCATGGCTAGCCTTTTCCTTATAATGCGAAGGACAGTCAAGAAAGATTGTTCAGGGCATGCATTTGTGTTTTCCGAATCTCTATACCAAAGAGGAGAAGGGAACACAGGTGGTCGCTGGGTGTTTTCTGAAGGATACAACGGTTATACAGCATTAATGGAGATTACCACTTGGAAGGCTGTGTGGTCCAAGTATAGTGGGACAAGAGTTAAGAGAAGATTTTTGATTGATTCATGCAGATACATTGATACATGTATATACATACAAAGATATATCCTCTTTATTTTCCACCATGGAGACCATATGGTCCTTATGCCAGTTAGGGAAATTGCATCGATCCTTCGCATATTCTGTTTCCTGTTTTGTGCCTCTGTCACCAGAAGCACCACCAGTTTGGGGTCTGTTTCTTTGCTTCCCTTCTTTTCTTTTCTTTTCTTTCTCGCACCTCTCTTGCCCCCAGCCGGACTGAACTGTCTTTGAGTCAAATGTCAAAAATTCTGACTTCCGCTATTGGAAAGAAAAGGCGGGCTTTTTGAAAGGTTGTCTTTCTTTCAGATTCGCCTTGACAAACGCCGCGATGTCTCAGCAGGGCGCCAAAGGCTTTTCCAAAGGGTCTTCCCAGGGCTCCGCCCCCTGCTCCGCCCCGACGCCCGCCCCCGCTCCCTCCTCCTCCTGCTGTAGCCGCGGCTGCTGCGGGGGCGGCGGTTGTGGCTGCGGCGGTGACTCCGGCTGCTGTGGCTCCAGTTCCACCGGCTGCTGCTGCTTCCCCAGGAGGCGCCGCCGGCAGCGCACTGGCGGCTGCTGCTGCGGAGGAAGCCAAAGGTCTCAACGCTCCTGCAACAACCAGAGCTCAGGCTGCTGCGGTGGCTGCTGAGAGCCCACAGAGCTGCGCCCAAGCAGCTACTAGCATCCTACAGCGACCCCTCTGCTGCTCCCACCCTGTCTTCCATAGTAGTAACAGGCGGGACCGGTCTCGGAGTTTGGTCCCCTTAAAGCTAACTGCACTTTGATGTTCAGAAACCTCACGCTCTTCTCAGCCCTGTCCCCTCGTGCTGATTTTCCTCCCAGGGAATACAAGTCAGGGGTGGGACCTCAGACCATGCTAAGGGCAGGGGCTTGTGCACGTCAGTGTTCAAAATAGATCTACTGATTTGATTGTCCTCCGAAGACGTCATAATAAAGCTTCTACCTCCCGTGAACGCTTCTTTTTCCTATTTATTCCTTTATCCGTGCCTTCATTTTTATTTTATTGCCCTTTATATTATCCCTCAAAGGCTCATGCCTGAAGGAGAATACGCCGACTGCTCTGCGTAGTCTAAGGAGCTTTATCTCCTTTGTATAATGACCCTCTGAGGTGGGCGCTGCTGCGTCGGTTTTACCGAAGGGAAACTAACATTATGCTCAGAGTCACTTCTGTATGCCTGAAAGATGGAGGTAACTAGAGGATTCAGAGATCATTCTCCTAATTGCTCTGCTTAGCGTGGTCTGCCCTAAGTGGTCAAAAACTTTGTGTTCCTCCCCAGAAGAGGCCCCTTCCTTGCCCTCCACCCCCCAACTCCGCCTCCCTCCACTTAGGACTTTTCCACAAGGCCCAGGTAGCTGAGGGATTCTGCTTTGCATTGGCAACTTCTGAAGCCTTGAATTCAGTCCTGCTGAGACTTCTTTCTCTTCTTCCATTTTCCCTTCCTCCCTTCTTCTCTACTTCCCTTCTCCCCTTCTTTACTACCCCTTCCCCTCCCCTTCTTTCCCCTCTCCATCTCCTTCCTCACAACACTCTAGTTTTCTTCCTCTGGTGGAAGACCACTGACCTTTGCTTGCTGGGTGAGAAAACTATCTATGCCTATCAGGAGCCTGGGACTCACCTTCTTTTAGGTCTGATCTATGCAGCCGAAGCATGACCAGAA